ATTTCCAATAAAGTTGTGATATTTCTTTAAGCGGTTTGATGCCTGAAGACTTAATCAAATTCAGAAATTTGGAAATTGGATATCTTGATCGGAAATGTCAGAGACAAGTAAGGATCTCTCAAAACAGACGAAAATCCTCCTATCCGGAATACTACATGAGAACCGGATGTCTCGTTACAATCCTCTGAAGGCTAAGTCGGAAGACTAGCGCGGATTTCTTTCTCACCTGGAAGACTGAGTATGACTCTTCCGGATTTGTCAACTAAGAATCGGATACCTCAAGGAAGACCGGAATTCTCAAAAAGCGGACAAGTGAGAAAAGACTTAGAAAATTATCTAAGTCTTGAATGAAGAAATTCTACCCGTTGGTAAGGAAAAATCAATCTCTTGATTTTCAACGGCTAGATTGAAGATAATTATGCTGATTCAAGAACAAATGACTCGAAGACAAAGTCTGGACCTCTAAAAATTGAAGAACCTGTCCAGAATTCCTAAACAAGCACTAGAAGACAAACAGAGTAAAGTGCTACAGTTCAAAATTCTTGAACAACAACTAGAAGACGGATTCTATGGAAAAAGGAATCCCTCCTTTAAGAATTGGGTATGTCCAAACACCCATTCCAATGAGGAATCTTAAAATCACAATCTTCATTCAAAATTGAAGCCAGCAAATGCAACAGATAGTCTATTTTGATTCAACGGATAGATTATCCAATCCAGCTATAAATAGCATCCTTGGAAGACTGGGGAAGAAGAGAGAACTCATCAACGATAAGAAGAACAACCACAAAGAGGCTACCTCATTCACAGTTAGCCCAAAAAGCTTGATAAAGAGAGATTTCTAAACTCCTTATCTAGAAGCAAACTTCTCCTCCTTCCAAAGTGCTATAGTGTAAATACTTGAAGGTTTCCTTGTCTCAAGTACCACACCACGTTGAAGGATACAACTTTTGATCAAACTTACTGATTGAAAGGGGGTAGGTCAACTTTCTTGCAAGTTGGTCTTGCAAGTCCTATTGTTTGGACCTTGCAGTTGTTGAAGAAGCGTGACCTTCGAAGGAACAACAAAGCTAGCACGAGTGCAGTAGCAACATTGGCCTTGCGAAGATATACCGTGCAGAAATTCACACAAGTGTAATTGTTGGTTCATTATTCAACAACCAACTACATAGTGGATTTTGAGGACGTAGAAGGATTACCCCACCTTCGAACCTCGTTAAAGTTTGCGTGTCTCTCTCTTTTATCTTTATTCTTACTTGCAATTATATTAAGTGAGAAAACTAACCCATCCATATTGATTACTGCTCACTCTACCCACCAACTTACGCACATAATCTAAAGTTCACAAGAACTCTAGATTAACACTCATTTTCACGTTTTCAAAAGAAACGAAAAAGTTTTTAAATTTGTAACAAAGTCTATTCACCCCCCCCTCTAGACTTTGTATCTCACCACTTCGGGACCACCAATTGGTATCGGAGCTTGTTTCTCACTATCTACTTTTAGATTAACAAGAAGCGATCATAATGGTGAACAATATGGATCACGGTTTGCCCAAGTTTTCTCTTCTAGGTTATGATGATTGGAAGATCATGATGGAAGCACATCTCTACGCTCTACATGATTGCATGTGGATGGTGCTTGAGGATGGACCCTTGAAAATCCAAATGGAGAACCCTGAGAGGAATCCAGCTGCTCCAGATGTAGTCCAGTATATTCAAAAGCCCAAGGAAAAATGGGATGATAGAGATCGCAAAAAGCACAATCTAGACAACGTCGCCAAAGCAGCCATCTTCAAGACACTTGATCCCATCACCTTCTCCAAGATTAAGCATCCCAAGACTGCCATGGAGATTTGGCAAGGTCTTGGGAAGCTATGTGAGGGATCAGAGGACCTGAGAAAGTTCAAAAGCTTGAGAAGTTCAAAAGCTTCAAAATGCTTCCTAGAGAATCATTTGATATGTTGGATGAAAGATTCCACAAGATATTGAATGATCTTGCTTCACTTAACCACATTCTTTCGCCCAAAGAAAAGAATGTAAGGTTGCTGAGATCACTTCCAACTGAGTGGTACACCAAAGCCACAGCCATGGAAGAAGGAAGAAACCTGGAGAACTACACTGTTCAAGGTCTCCTTGATGAACGCAGAATCTATGAGCACGAGCTGAAGAAGAAGAAGGAAGAACAAGTCACTCCCTTCCCCACGGCATTGATGACAACTCCAAGAATCCCATCAAGTGAAGGGACATGCACAAGAAACTGTGACACACCTTCCTCCAGCCAACCGACAAGCTCAAAAATGGAGAACTACGATGAGGAATTTGCCATGATGGTCAAACAATTCCGGAAGTTCAAGAAGTTCTTCAAGAAGGCTGATTCAATCAGAAGGCCATCCAAGGGAAAGCCACAGGTAAGTTGCTGCTGAAAGTGACGAGTCATCCAGCTCAAGCTCAGATGAAGAAGCCCTCGTCTGCATGGAGCGCAGAGTTGAGAAGTCCAACCATGAGGATAGGTGGACTATGTCAGAAGATGACACTCTCTGCCTAATGGCCAAAGATGATGCTGATCAAGAGGTAACCTCACAAACCTCCTGCTCATCTTCTTATAGCATACCAACTTCTGAAAATCTTTTTGACCAGTTCAAAAAGATGATGAAAGATTTTGAGGAGATAAATCTCAAACACTCATCCTTAACAGAAGAGAACAAACTATTGAGTGAAGAGAATCTCAAGTTGACTGAAAGTCAGAAAAGTCAACTGAATGAGATCACTCAACTCAAGACTGAAAATGAATCTCTCTCTGAAAAGGTGAAATCCCTTAACAAAGAGCTAGGGATACTTAAGTCCTAAGAAGCAGTGAACAAGCTTCTTGAAATGACCAAACAAAAGGGTCGCAAAGGACTTGGGTTTGACCCCTCTA